AGCGCCAGCTATTGATCCTTTCAGCAAGTGCAGACCAGACTTTTCTGTGCATTTGTTGTATCTTCAGATATTTGAGGATGGCTCTGGAAATTTCCCGCTAAGAGTTTTCAGTAGCTGCTGTTAATAGATCATTCTGCTTGACTGAACTGAGTATTTCAGTTTGCAATTTACAGATGTTACCGGATAATGTGAAGCTCCTATTTCATGAGAAGTTTTTATAGGCGACAGTATTGTGCCAGGTCTCCTACTCAGCACAGTCCGTCTTTGAGTCAGTGGCATCATCGTCATGTCTTTATTTTCCGAGGGAGATCCACTTAGAGTCGTGACACGCCTCAAGGAACCAAGGAACTGTCTGATGTGTCGTCTCACGTCAACTCACATCATCTCATGTCGCTTTACCCTCTGGTGTTTTTGTGTTGCTTAGATTTCAGATGTCATATACAGGCTCTGGGTTTTAAATGTCGCTCTTAAACTTTCAGAACGAGCAATTAAAACACATTATTCTTTACAACTTGGCTGCAGTGCTAATGGCTTAATGACATGTAATTATGGTTTAGACTTTTTAAAACCTTATTTATCTTTAGTTTACAGTTAAACATTTAGGCTAACTTTGCATTAAATGTACTTATATGTTGCAGCTAAATGAGGCAGCTTAGTAACATCTGGTCTTTTTTACCTCGTGTTTGTTTGTTTCTTTTTTCCTCAGCAGATCCTGTTTTTAGTGATACTAGAATTGCATGTGTATTGCCTTTTAAATACCTCAGCGACACTTAGTTTACTTATCTGAAATAATACCATAACCTTCTGAGAAAGTGAGCAGACCCACTGTTTCACACAGCAGCGATCTTATAATGAATGAGTGAGGATTTTGTTTTAACTCACCTAGAACTAAATTTAACTGAATTGAAAGATGAGATACCGTCAGGATCTGTAAGGCTCATCTCAGCAGATGACAACAATTGATCTTGAGCTTTTACGAACAATATTTGATATAAGCCCGTGTGGAAAACAAATAAAAGACTAAGGTCAAGAGGGCACGAGATTGAAACATTTGTTATGAGGTAAAACTATTTTTTTAGCCATTACCCTCTTAAGCAGAAATGGTTTGTAAGTGTTAGCAAATGGTAAATATCATTTGTTCTTTCAACACCAGCTTGTGTTGTTAATGTGCTAACTGGCTAACTAGCATCTTGAATCTGTCCTGTTGGTCTTCTGGTTTCCCTTTTTGAATGTTGAATACAGACTACAGCTGCCTGCTGGCCTGGAGAGTTATTTCCTCTCACTCAGGTGCAGAACATATATGCCAGATGGCCATTGCCTGTCATCTTTGCAGTGTTCAAGTGTAGCTTTTTGGCCAAGACACAGGCAACGTGAGGCAACACAACAGTTGGCCCTTGTCGCCATTAGTTATTTTAATGTCGGTTTGGTGTGTCCGGGCCTTGGGAAGTTATCTTACGAGCTTGTCCCACCTGCCATTCAAACTATGGCCATAAATCAAGAGCGGCTCTACTACTTGAAGTGTTGTTTCCAAGTACTAACGGACTGTTATCACCTTTTATATCACAGCAGTCAAAGTGTCAGTACTCTGAATGTGACCTCAAATGAGATAAAGGACTAGATGTTTACACTACCTATATTTATAGCGCATTCATGCTAATTGTTGTATCCTGATCAACGATTGTGTGGAGCAGACTGAATGCAAACACTTCAGCAACTTGGTGGTTCATACATGATTGGTTGCCAGATAGTATCTGTCAGTTATGAAAAGGTTGTGGCTATTGGCAATTTAATATGAAAGGATTTAGTATGTCAAGAGAAATGTCTTTAAAAAAACATGCATAACAGAACAAACACTGTGGTAAAAGAAGCCCAAACCCACAGTTGTCCTCTATATAGCCTACCTCTGCAGCTAGGGCCATAATGTAGTGGGTCATTGATTAATGATTCATTAGTTGACCTGTGTCAGTGACCTGTTCTCTGCTGAATTTGGTTCAACCTATCTCTTTTTCTACACGTGTTTTTGTTGCATAAATATTGCAAAATGTAGGTCTTTCCATGGAGCTCATCTTAAGGCTTGATGGGTTGATTGTTTTCCCTTTGCCCAGTGTGCTTACCTGTATATATGGACCTAAGTGTTGTCAGTGAGATAACTTCATACATCTTCAATCTCATTTACATCTGTGTGCCGGTATATTTCATTGCTAACAAATTGTAGTTAGCTTTTATGTAGCAGAGGTGATCAGAAAGTTGGGGTAGGAGACAATGAGATCTTCCCAGCAGGATGTAAGCCTTATTTACTTTGTGTCTCAGACATGTCAAGACTAGAGCCAGTTGAGATGGATTTCAGTTTACTTAAGCTTGAAAAAGCCTCTGACACACACTGATAGACCACTTGTAATGAGATTCTGCTTTTCACTTTATATTTTCCTGAGGTGGTACAGAATAAATCAAACCTTCGGAGCTTTATTCATAATGTTGATACTTAAATTCTAAGGAAGGATAGGATTCATACCATTTTGTGTTGGAGAAAAGGACTGAAGTGTGGTACCTCAGCTTTGAAACCTTGTCCAAGTTGTTAAGCACAGATCGACTGTTAAGGAGCTTTGAGTTTGGTTTACACTGCACAATATACGTTGGAGGAACACTTATAAAATGTAGCCTGAGTCAGTTTGTGTTGATTTCATTTACACCTACTAACGTGCATCTCAGTGTTGTTGTTAATGCAGAATTAATTCAGCTTTTAGTGTTTGGTTGAAATGGAAGAAGGAGGGTCTAAACGTGCACTCTAGAAACGTGCTGCCTGAATCTGGCTTCCATTCTGCAGCTAAAAGACTGCTTTTTAAAAGTCTTCCAACACTAAAGTAGCCATAGTAAAACTTAACTGCCGCCTATATGTCATCATGAGGGGAGAAAAACCGCAGCCAGTCAGACGAAGGTTTGTAGGGTATGAGCACGTTTGTGCTTTGCAGGATTGCTGTCTCAGTTGAGATTTGCAACAGGCCTGTTAATTAGTCACCTTTTGGCTCCCACTGGAATTTTCCTGAAATTAGTCCCTAATGACAAACACACACACACACACACACAAGTTTGGAGCATACAGAAGGGGAGGAAAAAAATCCTTTGTTCTCCTTTTTACCCATTTGGTATTATGCTTATGGGCTTTGAACGATGAATCTACAGCTTTAGTTTTGAGGACCTACCAGGACCAGAGAAAGCAAAGTCTCATGGTACCACACAAGACAGGGAAGTGAACAGTATATTATATTTGTCGGTTTGTCGGTCCAACTTAGAGTTGACTCTCAAAGTCCTGATTCGGGGATCAGCCCTAGTTCAAATTCCTGTGGCTTAAACCTAGCTAAAAGCTAAACTAAGGATGGGAACACTCTCTTGACCAGGGCACAAAATGTGTCTGTTGGAAAAGCGGTAACATTGTGTTGAAATGAAATAATAAACCCACATAGTAAATTGTTTGTGTGTCTCATGGTCAAACTATAAACTCCAAGGACATGCAAGTGTTTTTTTTAATAGCACCACATAGCCCTCAGCTGCAGCACCTCTTGCTGATGTCAGTCATTTGTCTGCGGTGCCGTGTTTTGTTGTTTTCCAAATGAGAGATGAATTGGACACATTTAAAGGACATAAATAGAAATACTGTTTCTACACTTCAGCTGGGAACACACCACATTATTTAAAGATATAATATGTAACTTTTCTATATTAAACAGTCTAAAAATGACTACACCAATGTTGCATATTTTGATAAAAGAAATGCTGATTTTTAATAATGGCTTTATTTGATGTTTTCAGCAGTTTAAATCACCTGGTCCATTTGTTTTGGAGAGGAAGAGACTTCTGTAGAAATTTCGTCTCCTGGTAAAAACCTCCTCAATGATGAAAACTGAAGGAAAATCCTAACCAAGAGAAAATGTCTGCAATGGCAGTCGGTTACAGCATTGCTTCGTCTTATGTTATTGTTTTGATTGAGAAACCGCGAGCAGCAGGAAATTACATTTTGTACATTTAAAGCCGTATTATAACCTGATTCAGTCTTGGTTATTGTGTCTAAAGCTGATCTTGGACTGGTCTGCAAAAAAAAAAGAAAATTAAGTCGCCTAAAAAATCTACCGATTTTATCTCGTAGGTTTAGCATTCAAATCTCTTATTTCCCATCTGAGTCTCTGACCAGTTCAAGCTGTCATTTATCCACCTTTTTTTTTAGTGCTGCTAAATCCTGAGACCTTAGGGCTTATTTTATTCTCCTTCTGCCATTAGTTTGTCTCTTTAGGAATCAGTCCAAGGCGAGGATGTTTATCTAAAACATGTGAATTCATTAGTTGGGTTGGGATCTGTTAGTTTGCACCACACCCACAAACTGGGTTGGGTTTTTAGTGTTTCTCCTTACTTGAAAGTTCTTGAACTACTTATACTTGTTTGGTTCTGTGTAGCATCACCTTCTAACATCCTTCACAACCACTACAAGAGTACTTGAACACAGCTCTTAGACATGATGAGTTAGTTGTGTAAAAAATGAGCATATGGAAGCACTTGAGGCAAGGTGTGGCTTCTCTAGAGGCACACTGACACAGCTGTGGCCTCATCTGAGATCTGCGATGGAAAAAAAACACCGGATTTTTGTCTTGTTTTGCCTACTCATGACTAATACACACTCTCCAGGGAAAGCCTGCAGTCAATTTATGTAAGCAGTCTCACATACACAAACACACATACACAGAAGATGCACCTGAAAAAAAAATGCCTGAAGCCTGCCAGAAAACTGTTAATTGTCAAAAGGATGGTCGTTCCTCAACGCACAAGCCAGTGGAACGCCTCAGTGATAGCTGTCTTGTCTTAGATTTTGTCATATTAGATGTGGTGCCTCCGGTTGATTGGTTGTTGTGCATCCTGAATCATCCAAATGTTTCTGTTTTTGCTGCAGAACATTAAAAGTTAATGTATTCAGCTTTGGCTCTGTACCTGATTTTCTTTTTTTTCTGTCTCAGGCAGGTTGGTGCTCTACATCTGAACATCTTCATCTCATTACTGTGGTTTAAACCGAGGCACAGGACACCACAGACCTCCAGACCTTCTGTACCAGCCTCCAGCTACGATGTCCTAGCTAACAGCAACGCTGCCCCCTCCCCTGACAATCCTGTCCCTTAAACTTCAGTGTCTCTCTCCATCCGTGTCCCGCTCATAGTCCTTCATCTCCTCTCCTGATGTGGTGATTTCTGGTCCTGTTACCAGCGGCGCCCCGTCTGGCGTGATGAGCAGCCTGCCCCAGCAGCATCATGGCAGCACAGGCTCAGAGCGAGACCTTCACTCTGCCGCCTCCTCTGTCAGCCTCCCTTCAGTTAGAAAGCCGCCCAAAAAGCGCCGCCTGTCCATCCACTCACTCTTCAGTCGCCGCTGCCGGCCTGACCGCGATCCTAAGCGCAAGTCGAGGCCTCTGCAGGCTGGGGCCGGAGTGGATGGCATTGTCAGCACAGAAAGCGTGCAGGCAGAGACTGTGCACGATAAAACTTCTGCCCAGTCTGCACTGGGCGTAGCATCAACTTCATCAGCATCAGGTTCGTCATCAGAGCTGCTGGAGTGCCCTCTGTGTCTACTGCGCCATGCACGTGAGCGCTTCCCGGACATCATGACCTGTCACCACCGCTCCTGTGCAGACTGCCTGCGACAGTACCTGCGCATCGAGATCTCAGAGTCTCGTGTCAACATCTGCTGTCCCGAGTGCTCGGAGCGCTTCAATCCCCACGACATCCAGATGATCCTGGGGGATCGAGCTCTCATGGAGAAGTACGAGGAGTTCATGCTGAGGAGGTGGCTTGTGGCTGAACCTGACTGCCGCTGGTGCCCGGCCCCCGACTGTGGGTAAGAACAAGAGCTCAGGGATTATAAAGAATACTCAGTGAAGAACACATTAGGTCAAGCTGCTCTTTACATAATACATGACTCACCAGCTGAATGAAACTGAGATCTTATTTGATTTGTTTTAAGTCCTCAGGTTAGAGAGGGTGAAATGATGGTTTTAAAAGGGTTTAAGTTTTTTAAACAAACAACAAAGATTTTACAGTCAGGTGTAACTCAAGGGTAGGAATAAATTTGTTTCATATTGAGTGATGTCCACATAACATTTGTAGCAACAAGGCCAGTTACCATACTAATTTCAGGCATCTGGGATTATTTCCACGCAGGCTGCAACTGATATTAATATTTTAAAACCTCTATTTTGGTTTACCTGAGATGCTTGATGTCTCTTACTCCTGATAGAACAAATATACGAGTCCCAAAATAACATAGCAAGCAGCTACATTAAAGAAACTTCAAGGCTGCAGTCTGGCCTTTTGAAGTTCACCCCAGCTTCTGCATCGATGCCCGAGTTATAAATAACTCGTAGCAGTAACAGACCTGTTTATTCTGTCAGCCTAATGAGTCAGCTAAAAACATGACATGAGCAGCAAGTGATGATGATGCCTATTGTTATCAGGCTGTAGCTGATAGTTTTCTAACCATATAATGGTCATGCACTGCAGAGGGACTTAAATATATGCATCCCTGAATATAGGAGCATAGTAAACAGTGAAAAACAACTCAGACCCATTTGAATAAATAATACAACTAAATATAAATAGAAATTATTAATGCTATAGTGCATTAAAACTGTTAAAATTTTCATTTTTCAAGTCAGATAGTCAGATATGATCAAAGCTGGTAGTGATTTGCCTGTTAGAAATAATAATTATCGTCATATCTTCATATTTTGTTTATGGTAAAGCACTTTCTAAACAAAGTGTAAACAGTGCTTTGCAGTAACACAGACTAAACAATTAATTTTGCTAAAATAATGAGACTGCAGGACCAGACAAAATGAAACAATGAAGAAAATAACAAAGAAAAAAGTTTGAATAACCAAAGGGAAAAGAAAAAAACACAAACTTCCAGGCATTGTATAAGAATAAAGTCATAATTTCAAGTATAAAGTTGTAATAAATAGAAAAAGTTGTAATATTACTTGAATAAGTAGAAATATTTTGAAAAAAAAAAAAAAATTCATAAATAGATGCCAGAAAGTCAGGTGACATAGTACAAAGAGTGCCAAAATCCATGATGGACAGATGTGGTGGATGAATGGTTAATTCAGGAGACTTGCGCCGTGCAGTCAGGGGTTCAAATTCCAGAATTTAGTTATCAGGCTGTATGACGTTGCTGAATGCACACTGTTTACTTAAACTTTAGCAGACTGTTTCAGACTGTTGTTCTGGTTCGCCTCGTTCCTGAGGAGGTGACAGTGTAGGTGAGGGTCAGGTCAGGGTCTTGTATGTTTGGAGCCAGTGGGGATTCAGCACTTTGCTCACAGGGGCCTGAACATCAGCGAACATTACGCTCCGTGTGCTCACTAGGTCACCCTCAGCTTTACCTGGTGTTTACTGCACCTGTAGGCCATGACAACCAGCACGCACACCGCGTAATTAAAAAGAACTGCTCATCTGCATTTGCACCAGTCTTGTTTTCTAATCTGCTGGCTGCAGTAGAAAACTTATAGAGTTTCAAAGCAGTTACTAAACATCACTTCAGTGTGAGTGATTGCTGAGTTCAGTAATGGGTTTACCCTTCAACCCTCTCCCTCTCTGTCTCTCTCTGTCCGTCTGTCTGTCTGTCTCTCGGCTTTGTTGCATCAACACTGCTGACCCTGTCTGTTAGAATAATGGCTCTTTCATGAGCCTGTTTCAGCTCCTCTTTCTCTTGTCATCCAATCAGTTCAGCTCTGGCTCACTGTCACACTCTCCACTCGTTGATGCCGTCATTCTTAATTGTTGTATAATTACTCTCACAGATTATTGGGCTGCGTTTGTCAGCTCAGCAGTGAGGTTTGTCAAATGTAAGAATCCTCTGAACAAACATTTGACATGAAGCGAGTCTTGACTTAACAGTGGTGTCATCATTGCACATACCATAAGGTCCATTTGGAAGGTCTCCCATCTAGTTTACAACTTATACAGCATTTGCCATGAGTTTGCCTCACTGAGGTGTTAGCGCAGACTGTCTGGGAGCTGTCTAGACTGAATGCTCTGTTGGTATATGGTGCCCACACACATTAGCCGTGAATCAACTGTGCTGATTTCTAGTGAAACATTGAAAAAACACTGCAAAACGATGCTATGACATCAGTTAGCAGCACATCTGTTTCTGTTATCTTCACAACATAGCACTGGAAACCACATTTAGGTATTAAAAATATCATGGAACTTCTACAGTATCTGTGATCGTATGCTTTTTTTAATAAGTCCACTCTTACTCTCATGTTGAACTTTGGTCTCTTTATGACCTTTTACCCCAAATGTAGACCCTGTGAGGGTGAAACTAGTAGGAGTTTTTAACTGTAAGGCTTGTGATAAACCTCATCTCCCTGCTCTACTGTAAGCTGATCGCCCTGAAATTTCTTTATTTCCTGTCCATTGCATCACTTTTTCCAGATGACCTAAAGGTTCTTGGCTCTTGGTGCATGGGAAACAGATTCAGCACTTTTTTTGTTTATCTCTCAAGAATGGCCGCAAGGGGCTTCAATTAATCTCCAAATTTTTGTTTATGAAACTTTTTTCTATGAAACATCAAAAACAGTAAAAGAAAAATATGCTCATCATGATTTTCAGTGCCCAGTATGATGCCCACAAGTCTGAAATCCAAAGATATTCAATGTATTATAATGTAAGACAAGCAAAAGAAGCAAATTTCTCACATTAGAGAAGCAGAGAAGATGTTTGAAAACCAACTTAAACAATGAGTTGATTGTGAAACTGGTGGCCAGTAAATTGACTAATCATTGCAACTCTACTCTCAAGAATTTCTCAGTCATCCAGTCATTATCAGATTGATATCTGTTTGTAAAGCAGAAAGTGGACCCAACGTCTACTTACTGTAGACTTTGAGTAAATAAGTTTGTTTTTTTTTTGCAGTTACTAGTACTGCTCAAGTATGGCAAAAATCATAATCACAGTTATTTTAGTCGATATTTTTTATTTTTTTTTAAAGATATTTTTTTGGGCATTTTTAGCCTTTAATGGACAGGACAGACAAGTGTGAAAGGGGGAGAGAGAGGGGGAGTGACATGCAGCAAAGGGCCACAGGCTGGAGTCGAACCCAGGCCGCTGTGGCAACAGCCTTGTACATGGGGCGCCTGCTCTACCACTAAGCCACCGACGCCCCATTTTAGTCAATATTGATATTAAAATCATTTAACATGATTACTCATTGACGGTTATCTTGGCTGGAGGTGCCGCAGCCAACTTGAGAGTAAGTTTGGGCTTTGAGGGGCAAGAGCACTGTAAAGGATAGAGGTGCGCTGGATTTGTAACAAGACAAACTGAGAGCATCATTGCGATTGTGTCACAGTAATTATTTTATCGCAATTGTCTTGTTTTCATAATCATTGGAAACCAAAATTGAGACCAAATAACTGTCACCTTCTTCACAGCTGTTGTCACTGTTGCGTCTTTCGTATTAGCTGACGTTTGCATGTCTATTGGACTTATACTTATCTCAAACAGCTGTTTATCAACCAACAACCATTGTGAGCAGCTATATAAGCTAAACCCCCAATTTTTTTCATAGCTGAATAAGCAGCTTTGGCTTACTTTACTAAATTACATCTATAAATGAAGATATCTGGCTATTTGTTCACAATATTTTGATCCGCTGAAGATTTCCTGTAAGCTGTAAACTCTTATTTCCATCATTTACACTGGACCTTCATGCTTAATTTGCACACAGTGACATCCAGTCCAGTCCAATTTAAACGCCAGCTGGAGTGTTTGTTTTTCCCTTATCTTCTGTTCTGATGTTCCCATGATAACCCTGCTATGGCTGCGGCAATCTCAGGATTTAACTGAGGTTGTAATACATTCACTTAACGTATTAATAGGCCGGTTGCCCTGCACTCCCCTCTACCATATCTAAGGTGTTCCTTTCCACAAAAGGATTATTAATGTCTCATTTTATCCATCAGAGTTGCAAGGATTAGAAAACTAATCAGTTAGGTGATTGAAGGAAAAATAATTGCCAACTATTATGATAATTGATTTATAGTTTAAGTAATTTTACGTATAAAAATGCAGGAAAATGCAGCCTCTCAGATGTAGAGATTCCCTGCTTATTTCTGTTTCATAACACTTTAAAATGAATATATTTGGAATCTGGACTGAAAAACAAGACATTTAAAGACCTCACCTTGGACTTTGAGAAACTAGGATGGACATTTTTCACTCATCCTGACATTTTATAGACCAAACAATTAATTGATTTATGTAGAACAAAAAAAAAGCAACAGTGAAAATACCAGACCAGACTAGGGGGACGCAAGTAGGTCCGTGTGGCAGCAAGCAAGAAGAAACAGTACCTACCTGTCATTTTATTATTTTCACAGACAGTAAAGGGATTTATTTGAGGCAGTAATTGTGTCACGGCATTTTATTACAGTGCCAGTTTGTCAAGTTGTTTAAGATTTGCATGTTTACAACTAAACTTGGACTTTGCCTCAGTCATGCCGTGTACTTTTTAATAACAGCTCTCACTGTTAGAATTGATGAGGGACACTCTGGAAATATGCAGTCATGCAGAACTGATTGTGTCAGCACTGATTTATTGTAACAGAGCTCATTGGTGAAGTCATCATGGAAAGTCAGCTAATTTCCTGTGTTTATGGAACAAACACTTCTCAAGGTGTTGGATTCCTGACGATGTAAATAGCAGCAGTGTGTGCTGTGAAAGTTTATTGGATTTTTGAGTTTAAACACTAGAAATTTCTCCTTGGTTTCACTTCCTCTACACTTGTCATTTTAGCCCTGCTGACCCCTAGTGTTGTGCAAAACTACTACATCCATGCTCTCGTACCAGCAAATACTAACCACCATTTTGGCTGTTTATTTTTTTTCCTCTCTTAGTTACGCAGTCATTGCATTTGGCTGTGCGAGCTGCCCGAAGATCACCTGTGGGCGAGAGGGCTGTGGGACAGAGTTCTGCTACCACTGTAAACAGCTGTGGCATCCCAACCAGACATGTGACACCGCACGGCAACAAAGGGCCCAAACCCTCCGGTTGAGAAGTTTCAGATCCTCCTCCCTCAGCTACAGCCAAGAGAGTGGAGCCGCAGGTAAATACACACAATCTGTACCTTCAACACACCTGTCACCTTTGTCAGCCACAATATACAGGCCGCAGTGTACAATACGCACTATAAATATTCACCAGAAATACTGTGTGCTAAATGCGCCTCTTGCTTTCCCTTAATTAACACCAACTAGGTGATGACATCAAGCCATGCCCTCGTTGTGCTGCCTACATCATTAAGATGAATGATGGAAGCTGTAATCACATGACCTGTGCTGTCTGCGGCTGCGAATTCTGCTGGCTCTGCATGAAGGAGATCTCTGACCTGCACTATTTAAGGTGAGACAGAAAAAAACGGCTCAGTAGCTCTAATTACTACAGCTGTGTTTCCTTACAGCATTTTCTGGGTGTTTTACCGATAATTTTTTGGCATTTTGCCTTTATTTTGGAAACAGCATTGAATTTCTGTTTTGTTTGAGTTTGGGCATTCATCTTGAGCAATGACTAAATAGGATTTATTTTTAAATACTGTTAGATTAGTATTAATAACTTATGTTTTAGTATAAATAGTTATGTTAACCATGATACACACACCCAGAAAAATCTCCTTTCTTTCTCTCCGTTTGTCTGACAATCCGATTTCTCTCTCCCTCCAAATCTCTCAGTCCGTCAGGCTGCACCTTCTGGGGGAAGAAGCCCTGGAGCAGAAAGAAGAAGATCCTCTGGCAGCTCGGCACATTGGTGGGCGCACCCGTCGGTATCGCCCTCATAGCCGGCATTGCTATCCCTGCAATGATCATTGGCATCCCGGTCTATGTGGGTAGAAAGGTGAGAGGTAACACCAGACAGCTGAGGAGGGAAATGAAACAACAGCAAACTGTTTATTCTGATCAAAGGAAAGCATAGAACTACAATGTCACATTTAATACACATGTATAATCTAAATACATTGCATTGTATGTACCAGTTTGTTAACAGGATATTTGTCAGTTTTGAGTGGTGATTTTCAGTCACAGTTGCCAACATTGTGATATAAATTTAAAGGTAATGAACAATGATTTTCCTCCTCAGATCCATAACCGCTATGAGGGCAAGGACATCTCTAAACACAAGAGAAACTTGGTGATAGCTGGTGGTGTGACACTCTCAGTGATCGTGTCGCCTGTGGTCGCAGCCGTCACTGTTGGTAAGAAAGAAGTGCTCAGCGCCTCTCTTTTCCCTCTTAACTTTCTCTCCTTCGCCATCTGTTTTTCGACAACGTTTAAATTATTTAAAAGGGTGTCTTTGGTGGGTCACAGAGTTTGGAAATTGTCCCAAAACATTCCTCATGTTGTGCTCTTGTCTTTTTGCTTTGAGATGTCTAAAAAGGTGGATATGATGGATTTTTATTTACAGTTTACCTTTGAACCCTGATGAAACTTCCATAGTTAAAGTGTGTGTTTACTTTATGTCTTGTAGGCATTGGCGTCCCGATCATGCTGGCTTACGTTTACGGAGTTGTCCCGATCTCACTGTGTCGGAGCGGCGGCTGTGGAGTGTCTGCTGGCAATGGCAAAGGGGTGCGAATCGAGTTTGACGACGAAAATGACAACATAGGTAGCGGGGCAGCAGCCACAGGTGAGCATCTCTAACAAAAGTAATGCCGCTCATTTCTGATGTGTTCTCAGGAATATGCAGAATATACAAAAAAAGGCAAATAAATAACTTCAATGTTAGCTTCAGCTTAACTTTACTGTCAGCATGCAGGAATTTGTTTTGCCATCTGAAACACAACACAGACCTTTTATCACTCCATTTAATTGTGAATTTATACACAAGTAAGGTAGTCTAATGACTAAAATTGGCTTATTCAGTATATAATAAATGCTTACTCTCCTGTCCTACAGTCCCTGCAGACTGACTTATGTGTCATTGTTATTGGTACAGTCATTTTGATTTAGCACAACACCTGAATATTTCATACCAGCAGCATTTTAAAAACCATAACAGTGTTGGCAGCTGTGTGTGCGGGCACATTTGTGTTAATGCCACTCTGTTTGGCTTGCAGAAGCACACCTACACCTGTCAGTGCCTTTGTGTATACATATGGATTATTCATAGCCGGTGAATCGCCAAAACAGTTGATAGTTGTTTGATGTGTGTGATGGTGTGAAGTGACTGGCTCAATATTGGGGGTTTGTCCTGTCATTGTGTGTTTGTCACTGTCAAACTGACGCCTGTGCAAGGTTGAGCCTGTCTTACTTTCCCAGGAGGCGTTTAGGGAGACAGATTGTGTTTCTCACAGCCTGTGTCAACACTGTGAATGATGATTATGAATCCAAATGACAGCAGGGACTTTGACCTTTCCAGGAACATAAAGGCGTGAGACACGATGACACTTATTCACACCTACAAATTCATCACTCGGTTGATTCGGGATAAATTTAAAGCCGATAAAAGTCAATAAAGTCATTGATATAACATCAGAAGAATGAACTTTGTGCCCTGACTTCAGTGTTGTTGTCTGGGGTCCCCTGCCCCAATTCTTCTTTATGGCTCAGTCTGTATTTCCCTCCGTCTCGTTTTAATCTATGTCTTTCTTTTTTTGGTTTCCTCAAGCCAAATAATTCTTTGCTCCACATACATTACGGCTCTTCTTTGTCTTCTCTTAATTAACAAAATGACAACTCTTGTTTCCCTCGTTCTCCTCAGACACGACCTCAGTGGCAGAGACTCGGCTCAACAATCCCAGCCTCGGAGACGGAGCGAGTGTCGGTGGCCTGACGGGCCTGAGTCTGAGTGTCAGTGGGAGTCACATGGAGCGCTGCGGCATGAGCTCCGCTCAGCGGGACAACATGAGCGACAACGCCAGCACCACGGCCCTCGCCGGGACCAGCATCACGGGCAGCCTCTCTGGTAGCTGCTATAACAGGTAATTCGTTAAGGTTCAATGGATGGATTTCCTAGTTTCTGCCATTGTGTTCTCCTGTACTTTGTGAAGCAAACATGCAGTGACTCATCATGAATTACATTTTTCATATTTTATGTCTATGTTATTTTCAGAATGGAAGTGCAGGCTGATGTCCAGAAGGAGCGCTGCAGTCTGAGCGGGGAGTCGGCCACTGTCAGTCTCGGGACGATCAGTGACAATGCAAGCACAAAAGCCATGGCGGGGTCCATCCTCAATGCCTACATGCCTCTGGAAAGGTCAGTAGTCGAAGCAACCTTCTTGTTGCGTCAACACATTTATGACCTATTTAAAAAGAAATCCCTGCCCTAGTTTATCTAGCATCTCTTGCCAGACGCCCTGTGGTCAAGTTGTATGAAGGAATGTCATTGTGTGTTTTTATCAGTATTTACTGAACTGCAGGCTTTCTGCTTTAGTAGTGATGCTGGAAGTAGTGGGGGAAATTCCCCTGCGGTAATTACGAGAGGCTCAACTGGTCACTTATATATAGAATATCCACACAAGTACAAATGTCAGCGCAAGATAGAGCACCTGCTCTGGATGAAGCGAAGGCTGAAGCACATAGGGAGAGAGGACGGACCTGTAGCTCTGTGGGTCCTGTATTAATTTCTCCTCTATTGTTGTTGTTCAGCGATGAGACGGTTGGTCTTTTTGGTAATTGTCCCGCTCCTCCTTCATTATTTTTGGACGGCTGGGCAAAAAAAGACATTGACAAGCGGCTGCACTGTTTCACCTGAAGTTGAATATTTTATTTTGAACATGAACACAAGTGTTGTGGTAGTTGCTCGCCATCCCCTGTGATTGGCTTGTCAGTAGCATGGTAGTGAAGTTTTGTTTTTATCGTGACAACCCCAGCTCGAAGCACACAAAAACTGATGATCTTAATAAATATGCAAGTGAGTATTAATCTTTAGTTTTCTTATTTTGCAGAGACAGTAGTCTGGAAGTTCAGGCAGACGTGGAGTCCAAACAGGAGAAGGTGAGGCACGGCAGCGGCAGCAGCAGCCTGGATGAAGCCAGCTGTAGCAGCAACACTGCTGGCCTTAAAGGTGCCAGCGGTGGCACATGCGCATGCCCCTCCACCTGCTGCTGCGTGCAGCACGACAACCACTACTGCCCGTCGTCACCCTGGTCAAAGGAAGCCTCCACCTCAGGGGGCAAAAAGAGCAGAGGCAAGCTTTGGAAAAGAGCCAGCAGCAGCAGCAAAGGAGACACAAAAATAAACGAGACACGCGGAGATATGGATGCTCAGCTCCTGGAGCAGCGCAGCACCAACTCCTCTGAGTTTGATTCACCATCTCTGAGCGGCAGCCTGCCCTCAGTCGCTGACTCGCACTGTAGCCACTTCTCATCAGAGCTCAGCTGCTCGGACCCTGAAACTTCAAGACCAGCTCAGCCGCCCTGCTCTGCCCCAGGAGACCCCCACCCTCACCATCCAGCCACCACCTTCAACGACGTCACCATCACGCCCATGCCCGAGGTGGAGAACGACCGCCTGGAGCATTATCCACCTCAGAGTAGCCACACAGCCTTCACCCACCACCGCCTGCTATCGTCATCTCCACCTGCTTCACCAAAAGAGGGAAGCAGCGGGACCTTTCTATACATCAGTGAGGAGAGTGGAGGCGACATCGCAGACACAGAACCAGAGACAGACGGGAAAATGAAAGAGAGCATCAAAAACACTGCCGCACAGCCTGTAAGCCCAACAAGGAACCGCTGTATACAAACAGATATCTAGAGGAACTGTTCTTCTGTTGTTGGCGGTGTCGCCACTGCTAGCTCAGTTAGCCTTATCACCTGATTTCACTCTAAAGTGAAACATCTTGGGAAGCTGGTGGTCAAGTTTATGGCTCTAAGTTTAAATCTAATTATATTTTTATCTGCTGTGGAGGCAGGAGTATTATGTGAATGTCGATATATACAGTTACAGAGAGGATCGAGGTCTAAGTGAGAGAGAGAGGTGGGAGTATAACGAGTAAAGTCAGAGCAGATAAGTGGGTTCTGTTCTTCAGCGAGATGCGTGTGAGCCAGAAGTTTCAGCCTGTTGTTGAAGTCAGCTGGAGCAGCAAGGCCAATAGTAGGTGGAGTTGAATGTCTGTGGGCAGGTCGTAAAGTAAGTTATCGGGGTGATCTGCGGAGTCTGACCCCTGAATGATGTTCTGAATCTGAGCTTGAGGCAGATCTTACCTATTTTCCTGATGCTTACACAAAGCAGAGGTGATGACGCCGGATAGGATCAAAGAAGACGTCTGATAATCCTTTAAATAGTGAGTCGAGCTGCTATTTTAAAGCCTGAACCTATCCTCCCTTGTGACATCTGCAAATATCTGGTTTGCATGAATCAGGGATCATCACTGTGGTCCACCACTGTGCCACCACTTCATCCTGTGACTTCTTCAAACAGCATGAGAAACACCACAGCTAAAGGATTGTCGAACCTAAGAGGGACCAGTCTGTGCAGTAGCAAAGTCTATTTTTCCATAATCACCTTTAAGAAAAATTACTATTGTCGCTTATGTTTAAAATGTGACTCCTGTTTTTTGTTGGTTTGTTTTTGTGCTTTGTCTTTGCCTATTTTTTATTTTCCATTTTGGGAAAGTTGGTTTTAATGTTGAAGCCCTGTGTTGGGGTCCACACTTTTCAGTATAATCGGGTGGGAATTGTGTTGACAAGTCAAAATGTAGCCCTTTTTGAATATTGTGGATTTAAAGGTCTGGTGTGTAGGATTTAGGGGGTATATTGGCAGAAATGGTATATAATATTCACACCTGTGTTTCCACTGGATAATAATCACCTGAAAATAATAATTTTGTGTTCTTTACCTTAGAATAAGCCATTTATATCTACCTAGGGAGCGGGCCCTCAACCACAGAGTCAGCCATGTTGCACCCTCATGTAGCTACAGTAGCCCAGAACAGACAAACCACACATGGGAGAAGTTCCAGCTGGTCACAATCTCACCACTAGATTCTACTAAATCCTACACACTGCTCCTTTGCCGTCATCACAGGCCTGTTCTGCACTGGTAAAATAATAGTTTTTTATGTGGTTGCACCTGTGCAAATGTAACAAAGTCTTCACTGCAGTCTCTAGTGCGAGAGGTATATTAAAGGAAGGGAATTTTAAGTTATTCCTTGTAAACGCAACAGAGAAAAGCCCAATTTTAAAATTTTGAACTGTAGGCATTTCGTACAATTTTACAGGGCTTGCGTTAGTTATTATTCACTACAACTGGAAAGTCAACCAAACGATGTATCAGCAATAAGATAATTAAGCTTTTGAGTGTTCAACATGTGTCCAGTCAAAGGAACACATCAACTTTATAGCAAAAAAATAAAAGCTCTGATATAGTTGACGGTGCAATGGGAACTCCTCCTATGTATTTGAGCACATCTGTCAGTGATTTAATATTCAGTTGTGAATGTATAATTATAATAGGATTTTTGTTTTTCCCTGAGTAATATCCAAATCAAAATATAATTTTTGATTCAGAGCTTTGGGTGTATTTTAACTACAATGTGTTTCAAGTTTTCTTAAATCCTTGCAAATGATTAATGCAAATAATTTTATATTTTTTGGACCCACAGTGCCTTTTTGGGGAAAAATCCTTTGTATAGTGTTTTTTTTTTCTTCTTATTTCCTTATTCTGTATGTCTTCAAATGATAAACATAAAAACCATGAGAGAACAAATTATATTTGCCTCGTCAAATGCTTGAAATGCACGAAACTTGATATCAAATACTCACTCTCCCCTCTGTGCTAAAGCTAACAGTCCCACTAGCTTGTTTAGCCCACCAACAGCCCACAGCTCTCAGTACTTAAAATCTTAAGACCAAAATGTTTTTTGAGTCCTTTTAAGGAATAATAATTAGAAAATGTTTCCCTAAAGTAGCCAAAGTCAGTTCACTTGTGTTGTTAGTCAGCTCCTGTTGGCAATAAAAACATTTATCCAAAGCAATCAGCATTTTGAGTATCAGATGTTGACCAGCCGAGCTCAGCAGGAGTTGTCTGAGAGAAAATAGTTCATCAGAGAAGCTGTGATGTCAACTAAAAGAGCTTTGGTGCACCTCAAAGGCCTCCAGCTGCAAGATATTCCCACCCTCCCTGTTCCTTCTGTTAAAAAGGCCTGTTAAATTCCTGTGAGTTTTATATTATTATTTGAAGACGAGTGCCAGGTCTGTTTTCTAACTTGGTCAACAGAAGCTCATGCTATTTTAAAAAGTATATATTCCCTAATTATTTGCTTTATAATGTGCATGCAAATGCATTTCTTTAAACAATAAAATTCTCAATCAAGCTTTGTGTCTGTATGTTTTGACATAAACGTTTTTCTGATGGGGAACCGAACTGAAAGTGAAACTTATCCATGCTCTCTTCAAAGCCAGACTTCTTTGACAAAAACAGCAGTTTTGCCTCACTAAACACAGGAGCTGCTGCTCTACCACTGCCTCCATCAGTTAATTTGTTTGGGTTATCGTGTGACTTTGGTGTCTTAAAAGGATAATTCGAATACACCAAAGTCAGACAACAACACAGCCAACTAAATCGAGGCAGTGGTAGACCAGCAGCTCCTGTGTTTAGCGAGGCTAAATTACTGTTTTTGTCAATGGAGTCTGGCTTTGAAGGAAATGTGGATAAGTTTCACACTGTTGGAAAGTGCTGTCTGTTTGTGAAGTACTACGCATACGGCTGGATAAATGAGACTTGGCAATACCGTACGAGTTGTGTGAGAGTTTGTAAACAGATGTTTTGATATACACCAATCAGCCAAAACATTAAAACTACTAACAGATGAAGTGAATAACTTTGATTATTTTGTTACAATGCAATGTTCTTCTGAGGAACCTTGGGTCCTGGCATTCATGTAGATGCCACTTGACTCGCACCACCCACTTAAACACTATCGCAGGACAAATAAACCCCCTCATGGCAACGGCACTCCCTGATGGCAGTGCCTCCCCAGGCAGGACAATGCATCATGCCACACCAGGGCTCGGCAGACGTGACTAAGCTCAAGGCGTCAACCTGGCCTCCAAATTCCCCAGATCCCAATCTGATTGAACAGGACTCAAAGGTTCATCAACAATGCCTTGGTGCCAGACGCCACCAAATGTCCTTTGTCCAGGCCTCGACAGGTCAGAGGCTCCACCGTAGATCGGACTTGGCTCTGACCTGTTGAGGCCCAGACAAAGGACCTTTGGGGCACCGGTTTGTCCCACAGATGCTTGATCAGATTGGGATCTGGGGAATTTGAAAGCTTGGTTGATGCCTTGAACTCTTTGTCAGATTCATTTGGCCATTCCTGAGCAGTTTATGGTGTGGCATGGTGCATTGCCTCGCAGTGCCACTGCCATCAGGGGCACTGTTGCAATGAGTGGGGGTACTTGGTCTACAACAATGTTTAGGTGGGTGGAGTGCGTAAAGGGGCATCCACATGAATGCTAGGACCAAAGGTTTCCCAGCCGAACAATGTATTATAACGAAACCATCAATGTTATTTACTTGTTTTGCCTCATTGGTGTAGTTTTGCTGTTGTTAAAATATGGCTCTATGACTTCAATTCATGTTCTCAGTTTTTGGATTCTTTGTTCACCATAGAGGCATGTGAGAAAAACAAATTTGTCTTCACAAATTAAACGTAACATAGGGTGAGCAATTGATAAACAAATGGTCATTCAGGGGGTGAAGTATTCCTTTAACAGCTGTGGGTAGAGGTTATTATAACACACCACGTAAACAGAGATCAGCAAAACAGTGTCAATGTTTTTACCAGTTTTTCTGCAGTGTTGTTTCCCTCTGGCTATTACACATGCTGTTTACAAAACAAACAAAGGTCTCATTAAAGCATCCACAAAGCAGTTTATTATTTACATTTGCATCCAAACTATTTACATACAGTACATGCTCTTACATTCCACGAAGCAACACTTCAAGCCTCAAGTGTTTCGATTTAGTTGAGATTTTTATGCTTTTATTTGGACAACACAAGGAAAACAATGGGTAACAGATCAATTCAGATTGGATCAAGTGTAATAATACATACAAGTATGAATGAAATAAACGATGTGGCACATTGTGCTATACATAGATTTACATTTTGTTTTGTGTTACAGGGCTGACATGGGATGTTCAGAAAGCACAGGAATGGATAGGATTCAAAAGACAGATATTTAAATGCCCTGCACACCCACACAGGTGTTTACAGTGATTTTGGTAAGTTAGATCTGCCGCTATTGATGTTAAGTGAAGGCACGAAACTCAGTCTGCTACCAAGAGTGACAGAAGTCTAATGTCCCTCAAACAGGTTTGAAAATACAACCAGGCAAGTCAGGTAACTGTCAATCAAGCACTGACCTGGGGGAAGCTCTAATTAGGCAAATAAAGTGAAAACACCTGTGTATGTGGATCATGGCTGCAGGGCTAAACGTCTGAATATACACCTGAAGAGCTCATAGAGGAGTTATGTTGTTGTTGTTGTTGTGTAGGTTCCCAGCCTGCAGCATCCCGAATCATTTTAGTTTAAGAGACTTAAATCAGTTGATGTAGAGGCCAGACAACAAGCTGTGTCATCACCCTGCAGATTACGTCTCTTGTGTCCCGACTGTTGAGTTCAAAGCCGTTAATAAAACTGTATATTCTGATGAGAGACTCTCCAAACGTAAATACTGTACACCTGTTCACACACAAAGACACGCAGTCACCGTGGTTACATTCAAGATTGAACCTGAGACCTACAATAAGTCTTACAGTAAGTAATTATGTAACACTAACTTATATTTACTAAACCAATCAATTGACAGTTAAATGATTAACAATAACTGAGCTCAGGGAATATTTTAAAGGGACAGTTCACCCTTAAAATCAAAACTATATATTTTTCCTCTTACTTGTAGTGCTATTCATCAGTCTGGATTGTTTTAGTGTGAGTTGCTGAGTGTTGAAGATATCAGCCATAAGATGTCTGCCTTCTCTTGGATATAATAGAACTAGATGGCACTGGGCTTGTGGTGCTCAAAGCGCCAAAAAAAAAAAAAAAAAACTTTTGAAAAACTCAACAGCATTGTCTCTTTCCAGAAATCATGACCCGGTTACTCAAGATAATCCACAGACCTTGTTGTGAGCAGTTTCATATAGGAACTATTTTCTTTCTATGGAACTACACCCAACAATTGTATCACTACTAGGGTTGGGTATCGCACTGACTGAATTATGTTGTTACTACTGAGTACCAATTAACGTTAGATCTATTGGTGTCAAATGTCAGCACGTAAGTCAGTACCCGGTACCTGGGTGAAAGCAGCTGGTTTTCACCAGAGGCAGAAGGGCCATGAAGCACCCCGAAGCCTGGAAGCCAGCCACAGAGCTTTAAAACTGCTTCATCGGTCACTCCATTGGTCACTTCATCAGACACTCCATCAGCCGCTTCATCGGCCGCTCCATCAGCCACTCCATCGGCGGCTTCATCGGTCACTCCATCAGTCACTTCATCGGCCGCTTCATCAGACACTCCATCGGTCACTCCATCAGTCACTTCATCGGCCGCTTCATCAGACACTCCATCGGTCACTTCATCGGTCACTCCATCGGCCACTTCATCGGCTTCCCAGCGAGCCAAAACTATTGCTGCAATGCCGATCTGCCAGCATAGTTTTGACATCTGGTCTATTTTCTTTTCTATATTATTTCAGTGATAGCCCAGTATCACTGCTAGACAAGCAGACGCACATGCACACACACACACGCAGACAGACAGAGAAGATTAGCTCTTTGGCTAATTAGAAAAGAGCAGAGGAGCAAAATTGAACTGAAGTGTACTACTATTACAGAGAAATGTAAGTACAGAAACAGGTACTGTTGGGTACCTGTACTGAAGTCCAGGTACCAGAACCAGTACTGGTATGACAGCATGCATCTACTGCTAGTTCACATTACAGCTCAGCCAAGGATAACACCTTTAATGTTTGCATCTCATGCTGTCACAAGCACAAGCCCCAACGCATGAGCAGATGCACACTTCCTTCTGTGCAGTGATACAATTGGCGGTGTAGTTCAGTAGAAAGAAAATAGTTCCTACATGAAACTGCTCACAACAAGGTCTGTGGATTATCTTGAGTAACTGGGTCATGATTTCTACAAAGAGACATTGCTGATGAGTTTTTCAAATGTGTTTTTTTGGTGTTTTGAGCACCACGAGCTGAGTGCCATCTAGTTCCATTATATTCAAGAGAAGGCAGACAATTCTATGGCCGATAAAATATGCATGTGAAAAATAGCACTACAGGTAAGAGGAAAAATATATGTTTTTGATTTTGGGGTGAACTGTCCCTTTAACTGTGGGGATTCTCTTAAATTGTATTTTCAGTGCCTCACTTCAGAGGGTGTTTAGCTGTAGAAATATTTAGTAAGTAAGTAATTAGTAAGATGTTGGCTTATCTTTTTTAATAGCAGCTGAAAATACATGTAACATGACAAATATCTTGAAATAGCTGAAACCCTTGATGCACAAAGACTGAACCAGATGTCGGCCAGTGAGCATGGCCGAAACATGTTGGTGATTTTAATGTTCATCATGAACTAGCCATTTAATAAAGGCCTTTTAACTTTTGCACCAGAGAAGAGTTGCCTTGGATTTTGTTTTTTTCAAGATTGAACCAGATGTCGTTGAACTTTTTAAAACTGTCTGGGAGTTCCCTATCTTCACACACAACACAGCTGAGTCTGATCAGATTCTGTCGGCGCTTTTTGTCTTGAGCTCAGTGAACCAAACACATCAAAGTAAAACTTTTAATCTTGGCGTATTTCATCCTTACTGTGGTAAAAATCTCAATAAGGCACACATAATACACACATATAACACTTTCCCCGTGTTACGCCACCATAAAACAGCGCTGTGCAGCCTGTTGCATGAACCTGTATGTACAGTACGTTACATCATAATGTGAATGATTTATAGTGCAAAGCAGGCCACTAGTACCTTGATGTTAGCCTTTTTTAAATAAAGCTGCCTGTTATGTAAGGTTGTGTGTGTGTGTGTGGTTCGTACACGTTGCAGATGGTGCAGAGCTGAAAAGCTGGTCATCCAAGGAGCCCGTCCCCGGAGTCAACGCCAGTCATTTCCATTTGAACAGGTCTCACTTACTTCATTTGATGGCTTTAAGAGTCCTTTTCCTCCATAGCTGCTACAGTACAGTACGTGTCCACACCTGTTTCATTCCTCTGCCTCCATATTCCTCCACAAACATCAAACCTGGAGGAAATGAGCAAAAGTCAGCCTCTTAGTGTTTGTGTGTGTGCGTATGTTTTAACTCTTTAGGGTCAAGGGTATAATTGGCCGTTTTTGACTACTTTTGATTTTACCTTTAAAATTTCATCTTAAAAACTGTTTAGCTTGCCTTGATTGGTGTCATTGTTTCAGCACAACCTCACCTGTGTGACTTTACAGTTAATTTTTTCATTTTGACTTACTGTATTAACACATTGGACCTAAAATCACACAAAAACACCACCAATAGGAAAGGGGGTGTCATGTTTGTTCCTGCACGAACGCACACCAAATGTGACGACAGATATTCAGGAAAAAGCATGGCGTAAATTATCTATCATAAGTCTGGTTTTACTTGGCCTATCAACACAATTTAAAACTGGTATATAGTTTGAAGTTCGCACTTTTGACACAAAGTTGAAACGGAGACTCAGCAGGGCTGCGTCTTGCTGCTATGTCATCTTAAATCGGTCATGTGATGTGGACATACTGGTGCGTCCGTCGACTCCAGAGTACACAATATATCTTTTGATATATTGTCATTGGCACAATATATCTTTTTTATTTGTCTTTACAGTATCAGTGTTTGCTTATTGTTACAAGCTGTGACAACACGACTGGTGTAGTTTATCACCTTGTAAGTCTATGTGTATGTCATCACAGCAGATGCTGTCCCAGGTGTTTATATGTCTGTTGACAGCGTGATAGCATCACAACCTTGCAAGATGCAGTCACGAAACTTTACACATGTGTAGTTGAGATCAAAATGAAGGCCAGCTTCACAGATGGGTGTGGTCGGAGCAAGGGTGGTGGAAGTAGGAGGGTAGGAAGTCGGGAAGGGGCCACTGTCCCACAACTTTACGCCCCTGGCCCACATTTTTTTTAATACGCAGATCGCTGGTGTGATCCTGAAGAAACATGGCCTCTAATTTGTCTTTAGTGTTTGGTTTTCCAAAATGAATAAGTTGATAAGTTAATAAGTAAGTTTGTGCTTTCAGGGATTTAGCATTTTCTCCAAAAAATAAAAAAAGATCACAACTGAAAATTGAAAATCCGTCATTTTAAGTTTCTAATTTTCCTAATTTTTCTTGTCTCTTATGTAATGAGTTTATTTTCCACAGATTTCGTTTCAATAAATAAAAAATTGCAAATAAGAATTATCTGAAAGCTTTTCAAAGTTAAATAAAAAATTACAATTGATAATAATTTGTTAATGTTTCATTCATTTTAAGACTTTTATGGATAATTTAAACATGAGAAAAATGTTTTATGCAAATAATATCTCTGCTGAACTTAATTATGACAATCTTTGGTGTCTCACAGTGTTGACAAAAACCTAATACTGTTTTCAAAACATTGTTTCAAGACATATTTGATAACCTATATCTTGCTTTTTACAAGTATATATTAGTTTTTTTTTTAAAGAGATCAACTACAAATATTTTTTTTTAATTTAAAACCAGTTTTTTCCCTGTTCTTTAGACTCACTCAGTGACTTCTTGCAGAGGTTTGAGTGTGCGCACATCAACAAATCTTTTACCCTGTGTGTATGTGCAGTGCTGTCCATCAGGCTCTGTCTCAGCAGGCTTGTCACCACCTCAAGCTCCTGCTCGGCCTCCCGAACCTTCGGATCCAGCTGGAGGACTTCCTGGAGGTCACTGCTGGCCGACAGGTAGTCCTGGAAAGAAGAAATTAATAGAGTGAGTGGAGAATATCATCATGAATAAATGCACAGATCCTGAATGTGTGTGTTGTGCACCTGTAAACCCTTAAAAGCCAGGGCTCGTCTGTAGAAGGCTTTCTTGTTGCTCGGCTCAAGCTGCAGCGCAGAGTCACAGTCCTGTTTGGCCTCTTCAAAGCGATTTAGTTTCAGGAAACAAATGGCTCTGACGAAAAGTACAGAAGAAGAAAAGGGTCAGTGAAAGCAGCATGTCCACTGTTGACATTCAGGATGCTGCTGCAGGTAATGGAAAATATGGATGGATGGTCATGTGGTGTCCTCTGCTGTTTCTCACATTATACTGTCCTTAAAGGAGATCAGACTGTTGTTGAATCAACATTATGTTACATCCAGAGCTTTGATCTCCGTTTTTACAGTCTATGGAGCTACTTACTGGCTCAACAGCAGATATTGTAGACTCACTTACACCATTTTTTTCCCAATCCATTTTACCTACAGTGTTTACCTGTGCCTCTATTGCCTACCATACACTAGAAGACTGGAGGTTTTAGTCACACATTATAAGATTTTGCAAAGACATGGGGATCTTGCAGGATATATTTGTACTATTTGCAAGATTACAACTAAATTCCTTTTGAGATTATTTCCCATCTCGCTCCTGGTGATAAAAATTACACCACCCTACCTTTAAGTAAAATGACATATTTAAAAATTCCTCACACGTCCACAAAAACACATATGTCCAGCAGCACACGATAAAAGGTGATACATGTTGACAGTACTGTTGTCAATTCAGCATCAATATAATCAGTAAATTTAAACTTTATTTGCGTACAAACTTTACATTTTGGATTTTGCTGCCTCAACTCGACTCCACTGGTTAGCTGCTCCATTTCAGGAGGCTGGGAATGAGAAGCCAACCGTTTCAAAATATAAGATTTCTCAGTAAAATAAGTGCTGGTTGGTGGATCAGATAAAGGCTGAATTAAACACTCCTGTTCACTCCACAGCTCCAGCAGTTTCTCCTCCTTTTCCACAGCACAAGTTCACAGTCCTGCACCTCCCAGAATCCCCTCCATGTTTACTGTCTACCTGTTTTGCTGCTTCCTGTTTGGTGCTGGAGAGAGCATGCCTTCTGGTTGTTGACAATGTTCACTGTTTGCATGAGCCAAGACTAAAAACTTACAATAACATTAAACATGTTTAATTTTGTCAAAACGACAAGAAGCAAAAATGACTTAAAACAGCTGGAGCTGAGTTTAAAGACCACCTTACACCAAACAATCAGGATCACAGCTCACAGACTTAAAACTCTCATGAGTGTATTTCTTGTAATTTTGTTAGAATTTGTCTGTGACAGTGAAAATGCCTTAAGACTTAAAGTGTAAAAGGCGACACACAGTGTTTAATTCAGTGACTATGTTCTCATGTGTTTGCAGTCAAGGGTCAAAGTTGCACGCCGGGGTTTTTTCATGCCTACCTGTTTGTGTAGACGGCACATTCATCAGGTTTCAATGTGAGACATTCACAGTACTTTTCCAGAGCTTCCTGAAAGTGGCCTTTCTTGACCAGGTCGTTGCCTTCTCGTTTCAGTAAAGTAAAGCGGGCGTCTTTTCTTCTGGCTGTGGACAGAAAATCGCAATTTAGCATCAATTCAGGACTGAAACATCTGAAAGAAAAAAACAATCTTCAGTTTCAGTGGAGGTTAATATGGAGATGATACACATGTCAGGGCAGACTGTGTTGAACATTGTTTGTCTTCTAAGATGCTTTTCCATCAGCTCAGCGAACAATCTTTTCTAAGAGTGATCAATAAATCCATCAGCCTGTCAGCAGCAGCACCAGTCTGAATGGACCAGAGGGGATGAGTCAACTCCTGCTTACTGAGCTCTCTGCTGTGCTGAGAAAGACTTGGGGAAACACACAGATGGTTTAACATATCCATAGACCCATGGATACATATACACAAATACTTATCTAGTGAGAGAGAAAAACTGACACATCATGGCTTGAAATTCGCACTTGCTGTGTAGTACATGTACCCAAGGTTATTTTTTACTCTGGCTTAGAGGCCTGTCAATAATACCACATGCTGCTTTGCACAGTGCAACACCTGTCTTCAGACTTTTTATTCTAAAAAATACTCTGTAGCTGAAACTGATGGGCAAAACACCAGTATTCTTAATCAATCACCTCTGAGGCAGATAAAAACATCCCACAAACAGCTGTTTCTCCTCTTTTAGTCTTAGTGTTTTAGGTGCTGTTGTTTATAAATGAACAACCATATTTATCCAACCTAATAAACACAGTATATTTTTCATTAACCTAAATCAGATTTTTTATGGGGATGAAGAAACCTGAAAAAAGGGGAAAAAAGTACTATAATCTAAAATGTGATACCTCCTGGAGCTCTCATTTTGATGACCAAAAATGTATTTTCAGTACCAAAAGAAAAAAATATACTGTGCAAGATTTTCCAAAAAAGCAAAACAATGAATAGAGTCACACAGAATTTATGATCTCAATCTCTAATTACCCACTCTCAGTGTGTGGTGGTGTATTTATCTCTCTGCCTGTACTTCTTATTCTTATTTTCTTCTTATTTTCTGTGCTCCTGGTGTTTATAGGTTTGTTCCTCCACAGCGCTCAGGTGAGGTCAAGGCTTTATAAAAAGGTAGCGACCAGATGCCAGACCATAAGCAGCAGGAATCCAAAAGACAGCACTGACCAAACCTGCAAATATAGTGAGATGAAACGCCAAACGAGAGTGAATCTGAGGCTGGCTTTTACTATCTGAACAATGAAAAAATACAACAGTATAGTATCAAACGTGCAGGCAGCATCAGGAGAGTAAGAGAACTGCGAATTGTAATAAAAAGTTCACGTATCTAGTTTTTAAGCAAACCATTATCTTCTGAAGAGAGCACAGTGACCAGACCTGCTGATCTACATGAACTGAAGCTGCTTGTTTTAAATGGTCACAGTGACACGACTGGGAGGTCAGGTGACTGGGACTGGAGGGAAAGGGGTTACTGCAGTGCAGACGAGGGAAAGTGGAAACAGGTGAGCGTGTGGACGAGGGAGTCAGGTAACTGGAGCAGGTGGAAATTCAGGGGGGCATCTGGTGGACAGGTAGAGAATTGCTGAATGGGTGTGGGAAGACTGTGACACCATTAAAATGATCATTACAGAGGTCTGCCTCTTTGGAACAACCTCCCACCATCAACTTGCAAACAAAGTTTTTTGTAAATTGTACATTTCTATTAATTTGGCACGTCTGCTTCGTCATGAAAGTCTTTGTGACTCTTGTTGCAAACAAGACACACTCATGGCTGCAGGCATGTAGCATCTACTTGCATTACATCATCTGCAACATGATAATCAGTTAATGACCATATCAAACCTCCATGTGGGTATCAAAACCAAACAAGCGAGCATTACAGTCTGACACAAATGTATGAGCACTGAATCAAATCTAGAGCACGCCAGGCTGCCTACAAGGGATCAGGCCCTCATCGACAACAGTTACAGTTGCCCATCACATACAGATGAGCACAAAAATGTCTCTGTATATTTTGGATATTAAATGCGAGGGCCACGTGTCAACAAACCAGCATACATCAGTAAAAGCCTAATTTTTTTTTACATTTTTATTTTCTTTTTTATATTTGTGCATGTGTGCAACTAAACCAAACTAAACACCAGATGCCAAAAAACACAGCATTTCAGTGTGATTATCAAGATACTGACTTAGAGTCTGTGGTCAGAACTACAGAGGTTGGGATCTTCTGGTATTTTTCTTTATCTAAAAGCATAAAAATCTGCTCTTACAAAACAGGATTTAATCAACAAATATGAAGAGTTTAATACTGATGAGATGGACCACTTCCTATCTGTTTCCCCAGCAACAGCAGTGTGCTATTCAGAGATTAGCTCTGTTCTGTCTATGCTCTATATTCGTTAAGTGTTTATGGACGTGTGTGTGTGTGTGTGTGTGTGTGTGTGTTCATTTTTATAGTGTATGTGTGTGCTTTTTTATACTCGACCATACGTATTTAAATATATTTGAATATATGATACATGTGGAACCTCCTGGTCTGTGTGATGAGCAGCAGTAGTCGACAGGAAACTTGACCTGGATTGTTCCATTACAGCAGCGCTACACTCTGTGTGGATCGCCTTCCCATCTGCATTATTGATGATCCACCCAGACACACACACACACACACACACCATATCTCCCAGCTGGAGTGCCTTCACCACTGCTCATCAGCACTGACACACTGATTCTCACTGACCGACTTCTGCTGCTGCCTTATGATTCCATGATTTAAGGGTATTATTTCAGGGTTTACCACCCAAAACTCATCAGGCAATATTTGAAATAAACAATTGTGTTCAAGTAAAACAAAAAAGGTAGAACAAGACCTTTTTTAGAAAACAAGTAAATTACAGATATACATAATGATACAAATCCTAGAATCCTGCAGAGTGTAGGTACATGTGCTTGTGAACAGTTTAGGGGACACACTTGGAGGTTATGTGCCCTCAGCGCATGTTTGTATTTAAAATGCACCACTCCTCACTGAGCTAAGAGGAAGTGATGTCACTCACCTTCCTCCTGCGCAGCCCTGGCGGCTCGGGCTTGAGCCACTTCGGCGCTGACCGGTTTGTCTCTGTGTTGCAGCTGGACGGACAGAGGGACGGTGGGAATCTCCGGAAGCTTCTCTCTCCACTCGGGTCCGTCCTGCTCGATAAGCATCTTGGTGATCCTGGCAGAGGACGCGGAGAGTACAACATGCAGTGTGAGCACGGAGAGTGTAATTAGCTAGAATAATGCTGGGCTTCACTGTGATGCTCAGAGAGAACATTAACTACGGCTCAGTGAAATGTTCCAGTAACAGTGACAGTGTGACAGAGAGACAGCATACTAGGACCCTGAAACTAAAGTAGGAAAATAGCACTTCTACTCATAAGTGAGTCGGCCCTTTAAAGGTCTAGTGTGAAGGATTTAGTGGAATCTAGCCGTGAGGTTGCAGATTGCAACCAACTGAAACTTCCCCAAGTGGCAAGCATGTTGGAGAACTACGGTGGCTGACGCGAAAATACAAATAGCCCTATTTCGAGCCAGTGTTTGATTTGTCTTTCCTGAGCTACTGTAGAAACAATATGGCGGACTCTGGGGAAGAGGACCTGCTAATGGATGTATAAAGAGAACTGGATACAGCATTGGAGGCGGGGCTCTTTTCATTCCTATGCCCTTCACTACCTTGAATGTGGATGAAAAAATTCAACCGTGTGGCTCATCTAGACTTTTCCAAATGTTGTTGGACCAAACGGATCAAATCCTGATCGTGAAACGAGTCACATGAGGGTTGTGCGCTCAAAATAAATTCATCTACTTATTTATAGACCTCTCTTTCACAATGTAAGTCGATGAGAAGAAGTCATTTGGGGCCACATGGCATCACATGACGGACCCGGACGTTGTGACTGCACAGTGTGACCACCTTGTAAATTGGCTTTAAAGTCCGGAGCTAATCCTGGGAGCTTGAGCCTGCTCCATATGTAGATATAAATGGCTCATTATGAGGTAATGAAAACACAATGAGTCTTACTTTCAGGTGAATATACAATAATGAAAACACAGGTATGAATTTTGTATTTAATTTCAGTCAATAGATGACCAATGATTAATAAGCTCTTCAACCCTTATTAAGTGAACACTGTACAACACAACTGCACGTAAAAAAATATCATAGAATGGTTAATCGTCAGTGTGACGATGCAACAAGCAGAAACAGGCGACAGTTTATAATGTGTGGTTGTGCTCAGCTGACCTGTGGACGCTGTCGTGAGCCGCCTGCACCCCGGTGTCTATCTGCAGGACGGTCTTATAATCCACGTAGGCCTTTCTGTAGCGCTCCAGTGACTCATAGGCCATAGCTCTGCGCAACAGGGGCTTCAACGAGAAGGGCTGCAGCTCCAAAGCCCTAAGAGGATCAGAGAGAGGCACAGACAGAGGATCAAACCGTCTACACCTGCACACTGTGTCGCAGGTGTAACTGGGCTGATCTGTAGCTCTCCATTCATAAACATGTGAGGGAGTACGTAGACAAAGAGATTCCTGCAGCTGAAAACGGGCATGTAGCACATTTATAGTTTACAAGGGGGGAATGAAGGTAAAACTAAAACTGAATACACAATCATGAAGGAATTATATGAAAAATTAGAAGCTGTAAGAACTTATGTCTGCCACCTAAAACGGGATGTAGAGTGGGGAATACAAAACTTGCAAACACCATCTTAAAGCTGTCGTTGGTAACTTTTATAAAGGCAATTTTGTGTCACATTTGCTGAAACTGTCACAACGTCCAAACAGTAGTACATGAGACAGATAGTCTGTGAAAATCATCATGTCCCTCCTCCTCTTCCTACTGCCTCTAATGGCATTTTCCTAGAATCTACTGCTGCCCGCCAAAAACAACTAATCAGAGCCGAGGATTCTCGAACGCAGCTGTCAATCATGTCGATCACTGCTCATGAACTGTGGTCAAACTGTCAAACTAGGCAGCACTGATCTTATATGAATCATTATTCTGGCACTGCACTGCCTACTTCTCGCCTCAAATGTTTTAGAAACATATTTTAGTGTACTGTTTAGCTGTAAAATGAGAAAGCTGGTCCAATCTGTGGGTGATTCTTGGTGCTTCAACTGTTTTCAACATGGCAGCAGGGTCACAAACTCTCATTTTACAGCTAAACAGTACTCTAAAATATGTTTTTGAAAACATTTTAGGTGAGAAATAAGCAATGCAGTGAAATAATCTTGATTCATATTTGACTAGTTTGACTGCAGTTCATAGGCAGTGATTGACAGCTGCGTTAGAGACCCCTCGGCTCTGGTGGGTTGTTTTATTCTCCTGCAGTGAGGCCATTAAAAGCACTACAACGCAGTAGTGCAGGCAGACAGTCTCATTTAATGCTGTGTAAATATAGTGGCAGTTTCAGCAAATATAACAAAGAGTTATTTTTAATAAAAGTGTCCTAATGTAGCTTTAAGGGGGAACTCATGTAAGCCTTCAGTAGGTGCAGAGGGAGCTGCATGAAATCTGATAAATTGCCTTAAGTGATGTCACTTGAGTCAGTGGGTTGGGGTCGAAGACTAAGAGTTAGAAAATGAAAATAAAATTGTGGGTGTAGAGTTTGAAAGGAGCGAGGTTACCAGACGTCTGTGGGGAGCTACTCATCTCTGCTTGAGGCTGCATTAGCTGCTACTAGTACAGCACATCCAAATCTCTGTCCTAGCTGTTGCTGGTTAAGTTGCATTGTGGGTAATGTAGTTTTCAGACAAGGAAGAAGAATGTGTGGAGTAAAAAATACAATATCTCTGGTCTTTTTAAAAACGCTTTCCATCATAAGCCTGACAAAAATATACAAGTGCAATGCTACACTGGTGGAATGGTGTTTTAAATCTGACAGAAACATGCATGTGCAGAGCTCATCACATACTTGGTACAGTCCTGTATGCAGTCTGTGCTGTTTCCATCCTTCAGGTAACAGGCGGCTCTGTTGGAGTAGAGGATACACACGTCCTCTGGGCTGTCAATGCCTGCAGGGGAACAAAACAAACCCACTTATCTGAGAGACCAGATGCTGACAAAGCAATCCTGCCACCAACTTTTACTGTACTTTGTGGCTACAGAGAGAGAATATGACAACAAAAACAGTTTACTGTAAAGTGTACACTGGCCAGAGATGCTGAGGGAGTGAAAGGCAGACACATAAATTGTAGTCATTATCTGCTTTGTCCTTTCTGCTCCAAGTCTCCACTGCAGTTTCACAACTGCCAGCAGAGCATCAGTCATTAGGTGCTGCTTCAGTGCCTGAAAGCTGATGTCAACACAGCAGTGATGATACTCTAGTACATTTCTGCTTTCATTTTTACTTTGATAAAAAGACATAACTGCATATTGTTTTCATCGCTTTCCTTTCCTTTCCCGTCAAGTCTATGAAAATGAGTCTTATCAGCCTGTCTCCAGTGCTGCAGAAAAAAGCGATCCCTCTATGAGAGTAAAAGTTGGCTGAGTGCTCTTAAAGGTGCAGCATGACATTCAATCTCACCTAAAAGCCCCCATTCACCAGCTCATGACTCCTATCTACGGTCAGCGGTGTTGTCTCGTGCCAACACTGCACTCACAGATCACCAATGATGCCTCATGTCTCAGCTGCAGTTTTTTAGATGTTAGAGTGAAAATCCAGACAGGTGACAGATCTGAGGAGTGACCTGTACTCATCCTGTGCTAGAATTATAGTCCAGGATCGGTGAGCACTTGCATGCAGATTTGGTAAATGGAGGAAATTGTGCAGCATGACAAGCATGATGGATTCAAAACTGACATGGGATACTGTGGATTGTGGAGCCAGAAGACTCTCTGAGTCAACTTGTATCTGATACTCTAATAAAGGCTAGTACGCAGATGCTAGGAGAAGCTTCCTGTCTGTCTCTGTGCCACCGATTTGTTATTGTTTCTACGTTATTGACATGGCAGCAGAGGTGGGACCAAGTCATTGTCTTGCAAGTCACAAGTAAGTCTCAAATGTCTGCATTCAAGTCCCAAGCCAAGAGCCAAGTCAAGTCTTAATTCCTGAAACTTGAGTTTTGAGTCCTAAACAAGTGCTAATGCGCTCCTCAACCAATGTAAAGCCATTTTAACGGAGTAAAAATGAATTAAATGTGCAAAAATCATAAATGCTTCTTTAAAATTTGCATTCATTTCTTAAAACTAGTTTGTCAAAAAGTAACTTAGCTGTTAAGCTAAGGTTTGCTTAGCATTAGCTCACTTACTATCTTAATATTAGCCTCAACCTAATGTTCTTTGTGCAACTTCAGATGTCAAAGTTGGAAGTTGTTGCGTCTTTTGCTGTAATTTTCAAAATGCACGTTTTGTATATACTGCAGTTTGTTTTTTATTGACCTCTGCATAGTTTTAGTACGGGACCAAAATTATCTTTGGTATCATTTTATCCAAAAGGCACTCAGGAACGTAACGTTAGGTCTTCTCCTGCAACTTGATTTGTTGCTGTGGTATTGGTTCAAACTTCAAAGTGCTGGGGATGAATGACGTTGATGTTAATGCAGGAAATGAAGGGAAATGAATGGATTTGTAGCACACTTTTTGAATAACATACTTTTAAGTCTTTGGGCTTGGAGGAAGCTATGACGTACTTTCAGGTCAAAGGGCTCGAGTTCAAGTGAAGTCACGAGTCACTGGTGTTTAAGTCCAATAAATTTGGTCATGTCAAGTTTAAAGTCATCAAATTTGTGACTCCAGTCCACATCTCTGCTTGACGGCCATCAGAAGTTGCACAGCAGAGTGACACATTTTTACTGTAACAATTTTAAAACATTATCACTCAAGTTTTTACTGTGTGACTTTTTACTAGAGTTAAAATGACGTCTTTTAAAATATATATATTTTTAAACTAAACACCAGAATAACACAGACTTCATCTTCACAAAAAGTAAATTGTGTAATTTCTACAACAGTAAACTGAATATCTCTGGGTGTCGCACTGTTGATCAGACAAATATCTCAGCTTGTGTTTTAGGAAACTGTACGAGGCATTTTCACTGTTTACTGACATTTCAAAGACCAAACAAGTCATAGATTAATTGAGAAAATAAGCCCTACTCATTACTATTATTTACTTTGACATAAGCTCTTATATGGCATGCAACTTAACTGGCACTGACAACATCAATTCAATTTTTTTTTTTTTTTGGTTGTACAGTATATTGTGTATGATAAGATTAACAACCCAGAATTGTTTCTACAAACCAGATAGATAAATGTGTCTAATGAACAGAGGTGTTTCTCCTCGGATGAAATGCTGCTCATGAGGTGAATATACACAACTGTTCATATCTTCCCCACCTGCTTCTGCACATCCATCAATGGCCTGTGTGTACTTCTCCAAGGCGTCTCCAAATTGCCCATGTTTGAAGAGGTGGTTCCCTGCATTCTTGAGCCGGGCCAGGTGAGGAGGAAGAGCGCCAGCAGGGGCGTCCAGATAACTTGTGTCCACTGCAGGGCTGTCCTGCTTCCCTTGTCCACCAGCAGAGCTGTTTTCCCTCTGAGTGCCATTGGCCACCCCCTTCCCTGGAGCTCTCTGAGTCTGGGGCTTTTCCACACCGGCTCCACCCCGGCTTCTCGTCCCGGTCCCTGCTGTGGCCTGATCTGGTCTTCCTCCTCCTCCTCCTCCTCCTCCTCCTCCGCTGCCTGGAGGCTTCTCCTGTGTGTTCCCCATAGCTGCACTCCCTCTGCAGTGTGTTCAAACTCTTCCTCCCTCCCTGCCTCTCCCTCTCGCGGAGCTGCAGCTACATCTGAGCCTGGTTGGGGATTTCTGCTGGACACGCCCCCTGGATGAGATGTGAGGTGTGACGTCACAGATGGGGGAAGTGCCACAGCGATGCAGTGCTGCAGTAGGACAGCTGTGATGGGAGAGCCTCAGATTCGGCTTCAGAGGAGAGGTTTTGGTGGCTGGACAGACAAACAGCAATACAGACAGAAATATATATAAAAAAAAAACTGAGGGACCAAATGGGCAGACACAGATGCATGACACTTTGATGCAGATTAAGAGCAGCCATGCCACATAACAGGAGTGAACCCATTACAATTTTAATACTGTATATTCTTACATGCTCTTTTGTCACTGATCAAATTCAGTATTTGCGCTTTACACCTTCACAAAAAATGCCTTGTATCTATTTTTTTATTTCATGATAAATTAAAACTCTTTTTAGGCGACAGTTTAACGTCACAGTATGAAAAGCACTGCTGTAAATAATAATAAATTAGCTGCTTCAGTTTCAGGGTTTATCATGCATGCTGGATTAATGTCATGATGACTTACTGGGACACTGGAACTAAACTAGGCCAGCATTAATGTTATTAGTAACACCTGTGCTGTTCACACTGTAACAAGTCAAAATATCTGCTGTGAAAATATCAGAAAGCAAAACAAGGGAAATCATTTTGAACACGTCTTTTATTATAAAACATTTTATAGATTAATTTAAAAAAAAAAACTGATGAAATTAATTATTAGATGCCATCTTGTTTAAAGCTGTGCACCACTCCATTGTACCTTAAAAAGGTGCAAAAGAAATACTCTTCCTCCATGTATATATATATATATACATTTCAGGAATGCACAATAATTTCGGCACGTCATCGGTATCGGCTTTAAAACAAACTATCATCATGGGTGCAGATCCTGGGGGGGACGGGGGGGACATGTCCCCCCCAAATTCTGAAAAACACAAATTGTCCCCCCAATTCTAAATAGCTTAAATGATTGAAATTGAACAAATGTATACAGTAGTCCTATATACTGGGAGAAAGGGAAGATGATGAGGAGAAATGGGAATCCGTGAGAGGCGAGAGATGAAAACGTGAGTGGACATAACATGCCTGAGACCTTGAAACTAGAAGTAGCATTAACTAACAGCGAAGCAGTGAAAAGGAGGGTGATGGCTGGTTCCATGTACTACTGGCTGTTTAAGAGAAATAAACAGTAAAGGTAAGCATATGATTCTCTTTGTAGTGCTTTTTGAATGACTTGGTGATGGTGATGAGCCTCTATGAAATCGTGAAATATGCTGGCAATCTCAAGCGCTCTGTGGGCATGATTTGCACGCGTGCAATTAAAAAAAAATCACAACTGATTGTGTCCCCCCCAAACTTGTCATCAGATCTGCACCCATGACTATCATAGCACAACAGTCCAACCGCAGCACATTGAAATGACTGAAGAGTGATGGGTCTCTGTGGATGGAGGGAGGTGGGAGGAGGTGTGGGTATGAGATGTAGCCCTGTGACTTTGGGGATAATGCTCAGCATTATGTTATGTTGATGTATTTCCACTTTATTTTACTGCCTAATTTGACCCTGCGTGCTTCTACAACATTTGATCTCCTATTGATGTCAGGGTATCCTGCACAATTGTAAAGTTCAGAAAAATGAGCCTTTAATGTATTTGTTGATTACATGTGGAATCCATCTGCTCAATAAAAGATATTAAAATAAATTAATAAACTATCTGGATTGCGTAACATGTTTTGTCTTATGTTGCACAATGAATGATTACATACATTGAAAAGCATTTATTTCCTGTCTCCATCTGCTGGTGGGCCATCATGACAGGAGTACTATGCATGCATAATATGATTAATTCCACTACAGAAGAGACTTCATGATCAAAAAAATTAGGTGGGGAAAAAAGTGGACATGTCGATATCAGTATCAGTTAAATACCACCACATCAGGTATTGGCAAAAAAATTCACTATCATGCATCCGTAACATATACAGCATCTGCTAACCTGGCATTTTTTGTTCAATGTTTTGACCAATGTTCAATTGACCTTAACCTGATTAAATGCTGGTGATGCTGGCAGTGATTTAGAATCAATTAATTATAAGAATCAAATACAGACAGTATTTTCCCTATAACTGGTGCCATATTACATAGATCTCTCTCAGTATCCTCTTAAGAAATTATTCAGCTTCACAAAAGTATGTTCTTTCTAACATTTCCCCAAGTTACTGGATAGTTTTAGGCATTTCGGCCTTTCAAGAATATTTAAAAAAGAAAACAGTCCCTGGTTTCACTGGTGACAACTGGTTAACATACTCAACCAGTGGAGTAGCAACTAGTTGGTTTTATCGAGCCCAGGAGGTTGTAACATCTTACAGTGACTGAATGAAAATTATTTTAAACCCTAATTATAGCGTAAAACAAAAACTAGGTGTTAATCTAGGAAAACAGAGGAATAGGTAGAGAAATAGAAATTTGCTTTTTAAAACATTTCACATATCCATCTAGATGTTATCAAAGATGATAACTGCTGACTTGTTGAGGGCGTTGAGGATGTGTGGGTGAACTCATATTTATGAATCATGGGATCAAATGAAAAAAAAAAGTCAACATAGTCAAGGTCAGTGAAAATCTTCTTTTTTAATAACCAAAACCTTTCATCCATCACTCCTAAATAAAACAAAATCAGCTGTATTTGTGCAGAAATGAAAATATTGAGCTTGAACCATAATTCAGTGATCTGTAGCTGGGCCTGGAGGTCTGAGCGTATGGAGCTGTCATTCTATTTATTTACATGGTCATACACTACAAAAATAGTAAACAACAGAAATCATCAAAACGGCTGCTCTCGTCGTCTTCATCTGGCATCAAAGACGACCACTGAAATCACAGAGTCAAGGAAATGTAGACGTATTATGGTACTTAGTTCATACATATAATTCATTATATAAAAACATTTTGCCATCACATAATATCACATTTAAAGGATACATCTCTTTGTTCTCTTCTTGTACATGATCCTGTAACCGCACTCCCTGCATCGGATTGGATCACGGGCCTTAATTTCATTTTCAGTGTGACATTCTGCAAAAAAAAACAGGAATATTATTACAAAAAAATATCATATATATCCAATGTACCTATTAGAGCTAGAATAATTAGTCAGATATTAAATTACTGCAGATAAATCAATATCAGAGTGTATGTTGGCTGATAAGTTGAAAGAAAGAAACTGCAGTACAGAAATGCAAAACTATATTTGAGGACATTTAGAAACAGAATCACCACTACATAGTTTGTCCAGCAGAGAGCAAGAACAAGATGATTTTTCAACTGTATGTATCTTGGTCACAATTCTAAAACATAGGAACAAACATAAAAACAACAACTAAACAAATCTAAGGGTGCACTATTGAAACTGATGTTTATATATTTATGTTTTAAAGTATCAGCCTCAAAAACCCATGATCAGTCAGGCTATAATAACTATGTAATTATTCAGTTTATGGCTTATTGACTTATTAATTACTTATATTTAGGACTTTTACTGTGGTATTAACAATTTTGCTATTAATAATTAATAGTTTTACTTCAATAATAAAAAGGTTCTGATTAACTGTTTAAATAGCGTACCAACACCCCAAGTGAACAATAAAAAATATGTATACACCACATACTTATTTCAAAAAGTGTGGCTCATTTGTCATATTTGGCTCGTCTAGGAGGCAGTGATTTTGGTTGCAGTTACTTTGTCAGATTCAAAAACGTTGGAGGAAAAACAGATTGTGTGACCTGTGTGATTTGTAATCTGTGAACTTGTCATGATATGGCTCACCAAAGTTTTAAAATATACTGTGTACAGACAACTAAAAACTCCAATGGTTGTTTTATGTATATTAACTTTGGCTCAAAAGTCTGAAAAGAAGGAAAGATGGACCACTCAATGAATGTCTATTTTAATTTTTCGGTTATCGTTATAGGGTATACATTCTGGCAGTGATTTTGTTGTAGGCATCAAAGTCTAAAGATTGTGAAAAATGTGTAGTTTTGTCATATATAATTACATATTTTGAGGTGTAATCTAGTGGAGTCTAAGCAGAGCTGTGTGCACAACATATTAATAGAGAAGTGAATTCATTAATTGTGTAACATCATGCTATTTGGACTTCGGAGTATTCATTCATGCCTTTGGGAACTGAGGGACACATAATAATGCTTTCAAAAAGCAGCAGCAGTACTAACTGTTCACTCAGTTCTGCTGGAACCGTGTGTAATTATACTGTAATACACAGAAGTTTTGGTAGTACTAGCAGTGATAGAAGATGTGAAAGCAGTATCAGTTGTAGCAGTCGTAAGAGTTGCATTTTGTAACAGCACAAAGTGACGTTAGGGCTGTTCAGTTAGCATTGTTAGCAGTGGTAGTAACAGTACCATCAACAAAAACAAAAGCTGTAATGTACCTCCACATATGTAGATCATAGGCTGCTGTTTGGGCGGCTGCAAATCTTTCTGAGCATCCATATCTGTTTCTACAAAAGACAGGGGAAGCAAGGTTGACACCATCACATATTGAATATTGTTAAGCATGCTAACACAGAAACAGCATGGTGGTACCGACATGATTAGCCTAAAACCGTCACAATTGGTGCGTATAGTGAACTACAGAGATATTCAAGATATTTAAAAGTACTGTATACGTTTAGCAAATGCGACATACACAAGAGGAAGTGATAATAAATAAGACATCTCACCTCTTTAGCACGTTATCTGCCCGCTGTTTACCTCTCTTTCCACATCACACACACTGTGCTTGCGCGCATGCGTACAACCGACCGTCGTCACCTCGAAGCAAAGTGGTTTGTGATTGGTCAGACGATACTCATTCATATTTTTCTTTTTTGCCGGACAATGCAAATAATATGAACATATTATAGATTCCAGCATGTCTGTAGCTAATTCATTACAGGT